AATTCTTAATGAAAAATGATAATTTTTTAAATATTGTGAGCATAATTATTATGTTTTATCCGTAAATAGTTAACAATCCTCTTCAAATGTGAGATTTCTATGGAGAAGTGGGGAATTGAACTTCTACTTAGCTTGATAATGTGGTTCATACTAAAATAGATAATCAGAAATTACTTTTCTATTTCAATTTGTTGCAAATGTTGAAATCATGACAATTTGGAATCACATAACAAAAATGTTAGAGACTCTAAATGAATTATCAAATATTCTACATAATATTCACATATTACGCCCATGTAAATATTGTATAGAATATTTATTTGGGATTCCCTAACATTACTCTTATTATAATTCAAACATAACTTAAGGGAAAGAACATTTCTGTTGTGCCAAAAGTTATTTAGTAATTTTAAAATATTGCTCCACACTACTTATCTCAAAACACTTATTTCTCACAGTTTCTCCTTTTTTCCGTTCTTGTTCATCACCATGCTGACAATTATCGCTCCTTTTATCTTCATCATCAATCAGTTTGCCACCAAGAAAATTTTAAGATCAAGACTCAAATATGATTCATGATCAAAATCGAAAGCAGCTAAATGTACTTTTATACGCTAGGCGACCACCTTAGATCAAAAACATTTTACTTTGTAATGTGAAGACGGAGATTAAGATATCACAGCTACCAGTTGCGACGAAGAACGAATCTTGAAGGTGATTGGTATTGTTTGTTTGAATGGTAATTGTTTTATTTTTATTTTTATTTTATTTATTTATTTATTTACTTATGGGTAAATTATATTTTCTCCCTTTTATGTTTGGCCATTTTTTTACTTTGGCCCTTAAAGTTTTTTTTTTTTCCCCACTTTACTTCATGTTTCAAATTTTTCTCGGTTTACTCTAAAAACCAACTTTTGCTAAAAATTAGACAAAAAATGACATATTCACAATCACTTAGCATAAAAATATTTTATTATATATAACTCATACATCTTGGACAAATTTAAATTTCAATATAATGTTGTAGTTTTTATGTTATGTTGACATTTTCTTTCTAATTTTGAATAGAAATTAGCCTTAGGAGTAAACTGGAAAAAACTTAAAACATAAAGGGCTAAAATAAGAAAAATAAACTTTAAGAACCAAACATAATGAGGGCAAAGTGTAATTTACCCTTTATTTATTTGTTATTGAAGGAAAAAGATACAGGTAATCATATTACCTCAAGCGGATATGGTTTTGGATCGGATTACTTGAATTACGATCCTCGTCTGGAAAACCCTTCGTTAATTGAGAAGCTTCCAGAGTTTCTCAATGTGGTATCAACACTCCAAATCCCTAGGTTTTACAATGGTGACCTAGAAGGAAATAATAGAATAATACACAGACTTTTTAGGTAAACTCTCACACTCATAATACATATTATTGTTTCTCTATATTAGATATATAAAGAATCTCTACTGATAGAGGTGAAATTATAGTCTCCCACAACCACTCAAACACTTAATTAGATAATTCCTTTAATTATCTTATTCCTTTAATATGCGAGTTGTCTATAACTCATGTGGACACTCTATGAGTACTGGATCAAGGTCAAATCCGACCCAATTTTCAATAGTTACAATAATGTCTTTCTGTGTAGAGATTTTATTCTCACTGTATAAAAGTTTGTTTTTCATTTTATGTGGAGACTTGTATTCTTCCTGCATCGATATTCTCTATGCTCATTTTGTGATATATTTTATACTTGGACAGGTTGTTTTGGAAAGTGACTTATAATAGGGCTGAGTAAGGAATCCATAAAATCTGCAAATCAATCTTGTTAAGTCCAATCTGGTAGGTTTAGACTGATTTTTTGAATCTGTAATTCAATTCTGGATTGAAAAATTGAAGAACCATGTTTTGCTAATCAGTTTCGAATTACACTTCATGGTTCCAATGGATCGTATACAAATCAGACTATATTCATATTATAGACCCTAATATATACTATCCTATTATATATAAAACCAAAACTGCTGCTATGAAGTTGCTGCCACTATGGAATTTTGTTGCTATTGTTGTGTTTTTTTTTAAGTTTTAATTTTGTAATGGTTTTATGGTGGAACCAAATTTTTTTTTTTTTTTTGGAGTTTGGAACTAAATATTGTGAAACTAGATATGCTGTTATTGTGGAACTAGCTATGCTGCTATGTTTATGTTTTAAAAAATTATGAAATGAAAATGTTACATGATTTTTCTTTGTTAATTGATTATGTTAATCCGTGGTTCCAAACCGAGGTAAATCGTGTTTAAGTGATTTGGTTCAGATTAGTTTCATAATTTAAGTGGATTGGATTGTTCTAATTTTTATAGAACAATAGATAATGAATTGGTCCTGATTGTATCTCAAACCGAATCAATCCGAGCCATGTTCATCCCTAACTTATAAGTTGACCTTTTGACTTATTACGAAAAAATACACAAAAAATAAAAAGGTAATGTAAATCAAATAAATTAATAAACTAATAAACTAACTTATAAAGTTGTTTCTAAAATCACCCTATTGTCAGAGAAGAAGAAAAAAAATACAAAAATAATAAATTCTATTATTTTAACTACTAATAAAATTTAAGTATGGACACCACATAGCAGCTTTTATATGAAAAAATTACTTAATAATGAGACCAAAAAAAAAAAAAAAATTTAAAAAATTGAGTGTGCAAATGAAAAATCATGAGAATGAAATCTCACTCGTACTCTTTCATGCGTGGATATTTTTTTTTATCTGTCCAACTGATAAATAATTTTCCCCTTTTATATCCCGTGAACTGCACCCATTCCTCCCACACCTCTCCATACTTGGGTATTCTTTTATTTTTATTGTTTCAGATCTGTCTAGTTGGTAAATAATTCTCCCCTGGCTCCCATCGCGTGATAGATTAGACCTTCCATAGTGAATATTTTAGGGTTAAAAAAGTCTTAAAAAAATAAAAAAAATAAATTATATAAATTAATAAAATAAAATATCACATTTGAATTATAATTATTATATTTTTTTTCTTATAAAAATTAAAAAATTTAAAAATAAAACCAAACGAAATTAAAAAAAATCTAAACTCAAAAAAAATTAGTTATCATAACCAATACTAAAAAAGCTTAAATAAATAAATAAAGTTATCCAATTGGAACAAATAAGTAAAAGTGTAAACCACGCGCTATGGTGATGAAGCCCAAAAAACAAAACAAAAAAAACAAACCTCTGACCTTTCCTCACTCCCTCCTAGTACGTCCACTACAAATCCCAGCGAAGTCCGTCCTCTACGGATTCGAGTCCCCAACATTACCCCCATACACCACATAGCAGCTTTTATATGAAAAAATTACTTAGCCTCCGTTTGATAAGTGAGTTGACTTTTTAATTTTTTGATTTTTTTAACTATTTTAGTCTAGGCTTAAAAGTTTGGTTTGGAAAGGACTTTTTGACTTTTTAACTTTTTTGAGTTTTTTTGTGAGAGAAGAATGTAATGATTATGGGTTGGATGTGATGTTTTGTTTGTTATGGCTAAAATAGCCTATTTTGTTTTTTGTGGCTAAAATAGCCAAAAAAGCCTGCAAACCCACTTGCCAAACACAGGTTTAACAATGAGACAAAAAATATATATATATATTATATAAACATTGAGTGTGCAAATGAAAAATTATGATAATGTTTGATAGTGTTTTAAAATTATGTTTTGAGAATAAAGTTATGTTTGAGTAATTATTGGTGCCTCGAATTGAGCTACTTTGAATGGTTTCAATTTCTGTTCACCGATCGACTAGTTGGACAACTACCCAGATGATTGGATGAAACATTTGTCTACTGCGGTTGTCACCTTGTCGACTGCGACTATCAGTCTTTTTGCCAGACGACTGGCTGCACGACTTGCAAAATGAAATTCAAACTATATGAGACAAGTTCAAATTTGAAATACGTAGCATTGCTGGTTACGTTTTGAGTTTGTAAGTTTTTAAGTTACAATTTGAAAAGAAAAAATTTGTTTGGTTATGAGTTATGAAAAAAATTTTAAATTGAGTTTTGAATGTTTGATGTGACATATGAAATAAGAAAAGTTGTTTAGTTATGAGTTTTGAAAAGTTTTGAAAAAAATTTTAAAACTTAATTGAAAAATTTATAACTCATAACCAAACACACAAATCAAAATTCTATTAAAAATTCTATTCAAAATTCATAACCAAACTTTTTTTAAAATTCAATTCAAAAAAATAATTTGTCATTTTAATTTTAAAAAATAATTTCTATTTAAAAAATATCAAAAACAAATATATATATATATATATATATATATATTTTTCCCCAAATAACAGGTGGTGATTGGCAATTGAAAAAAGAAAAAAAAGTACTGTTCTAGTCAACCGGCTGGACATCCAAGAGGATGTTCGAGTAGACTAAAAATTCAATAATTGTTTACTTTACCAACATTTTTTCAAAATGTATTTTAAAATTGATTTAGAATCATGACTTGAAAACTAAAAATAAACATAACATTAGAATGTAATAATTAAATTAATTTTAAAAAACTCTACTAAACACAACTTATAAAAATATAAATCTCACTTATACTCTTTCATATGGGAATATTTTTTTTTAATCCGTCCAACTGATAAATAATTTCTCCTTTTTATATACCATGAAGTGAACCCATTGCTCCCGCACCTCCCCATACTTGGGTATTTTATTTTATTTTATTTTTTAGATCTGTCTAGCTGGTAAGTAATTCTCCCCTGGCTCCCATCTCGTGATAGATTAGATCTTCGATAGTATAAATAAATAAATAAAGTTATCCAATTGGAACAAATAAGTAAAAGTGTAAACCACGCGCTATGGTGATGCAGTCCACAAGACAAAACAAAACAAAAAAACAAACCTCTGACCTTTCCTCCCTCCCTCCTAGTACGTCCACTACAAATCCCAGCGAAGTCCCGTCCTCTACGGATTCGAGTCCCCAACATTACCCCTCTATATCTGTATCTGTAATTCTAACTCTCCGACCTCTCTCAGCAAAACCCTAACAATGGTTGACCCATCCTCCAACAGCACCACCACCGACTCCGATTCCCTCCCGATCCCACCCCTCGACCCCTCCATCTTCTCCGACTCTTTCCTCGCCGGCGGCGGAGACATTGACGACCTTGACTTCACCTTCGACGATCTCTACCTCCCCTCCGACACCCCTCACTTCCTTAATTCTCTCCCTCCTCCTCACTTTTCCTCCGATTGGATCCCCGACTTCCCAATTCCCTCCGATCACACCTCCACCCCTTCTAGGGTTTTCAATTCGGACGATCTCATCTCTGATTTTCTCAACGTTTCTTCACCTGAATCTTCTCATGAGTCTGCCAACAAGGCCTCAATTGTTGCTAGGGTTTTGGATCCGGAAGTTTCCTCTTCTCAGGGTTCTGGGAATTCTGGATCTGTTGTCTCCGAACCTCTCAATTATACCTCACCCGATTCTGCTAACAATTCGATTCATGATTTTGTTGATCAGAAGATTGAATTGAAGGAAGTGGGTACCAATTGTTTGTTGAAGAGGAAAAAGGAGAGTGAGGAAGATGTGAATTCGGAATTCAGGACCAGCAAGTACCAGAGGTCGAATTCTGGAGAAAACCCTAATCAATCATATGGGTATACTTCAAATACTGGAATTAGCGAAGATGATGAGAAGAAGAAGGCTAGGTTGATGAGGAACCGCGAAAGTGCGCAGCTTTCTAGGCAGAGGAAGAAGCATTATGTGGAGGAACTTGAAGATAAGTTGAGAACAATGCATTCAACGGTTCAAGATTTGAACTCCAAGATTTCTTATATCATGGCTGAAAATGCGAGTTTACGGCAACAATTGAGTGGCGGTGCGATGTGCCCGCCCCCTGTGCCGCCTCCGGGCATGTATCCTCATCCGCCAATGGCGCCCATGGGTTATCCGTGGATGCCGTGTCCTCCTTATGTTGTGAAACCACAAGGTTCTCAAGTTCCATTGGTCCCGATACCGAGATTGAAATCACAGAATCCTTCACCAGCACCAAAGGCTAAGAAGGTTGAGAGTAAAAAGACTAAAACTAAGAAGGTTGCTAGTGTTAGTTTTCTGGGTTTGTTGTTTTTCATTCTGTTCTTTGGTGGGTTGGTGCCAATGGTAAATGTGAATTTTGGAGGAATTCGCCGGGATACTGTTCTTGGTGGATCAAATTATTTTGGTAATGGGTTTTACGATCAACATCATGGGAGGGTAGTGACAGTTAATGGTCATTTGAATGGTTCTGACCAAAAGATAGGAATGGGATTGTCTAATGGTTTTACTAATACAACAATACATTGTGGGAGAGATCGAGCAGAGTCGAATGTTGAGCAGATAGAAGGATCACAGGCCTTCCCTGGGTCTGATGAGTTTGTGAGGCCAGACAATTCTAGTATGCCTCTTGTTGCCTCATTGTATGTTCCAAGGAATGATAAGCTTGTGAAGATTGATGGCAACTTGATAATTCATTCTATTCTGGCTAGTGAAAAATCTATGGCATCTGGTAATGGTGGAACGAACAGTAGTGAAGAGACGGGTTTGGCAGTTGCAAGAAATATGCCTCCTGCTATCCCTCTGACAGAGCGGAATAATGGGAAACATCCTCACCTATACAGAAGTACATCTGAACCGAAAAGGGCTCTTGGTTCTGGTTCTGCAGATAAGGACAATTTGAAGTCAACACCGGCTGATGGTAAATTGCAGCAGTGGTTCCAGGAAGGCCTTGCAGGTATTGATTGCTCACTCTCACAGTTTCGTTTAAAATGGTTTCATTCATTCACTATACAAATCAACTCAATTAAAATATGTATGTAATCACCTATGCTTCCTTAATCATTCTGATATAAATTGGTTACAAGACAAAACATTCCCACACAATGATGTAGCTGATGCATGAACAGATAATTGTCTTAGCGTTCAAGATTGTTTAAATATTGATTATATACGCTTGGGAGGTCGGAGTAGGGAGTAAGTAGCTTGTCTCTGGACCAATTCTTAGAATTTGTGGACTTTTTAACATGTGGGAGTGTAACGGACTAACTATTGAGTTTCTAATGCGTACAGCTAATACTGATTGTGTCAACTTTCAAACATTTTTCTGGATCACAAATTCATAATGAACCACATGAAGCCTCGAGGTCTTACGCTAAAAAGATGACAAAAGTGAATTGCTAAATTAGGACCTTTGATGTTAATTCTTTATTCTTCTACTGATTATGATGCCTGGTAGAATAGAGGGGTTTAGATTCCAAAGAATTTCATTTTTAACTCTTGCTTCTGAAATTTAAAATATTTCAGCATTTTTAGCAGAGGTACTGGAGAATATTTCAGCATTTTTGACTCTTGATGCATGCTTTTCTCTTAGGCTTGCCAAGATATTAGTCCATGCCATGTTTCATTGATACACACACACATGCACCCAACCACCGTCACACACCCCCATTTTATATTCAATGTGGTGTTACAAAACATCTCTGTAAGTCATTCTGATCTTGCCCTTTATTTTGTAAATTATGAAAGCAGCCTAGCCTGCTAGTGGGTCTAACCCCAACACTTTTGATGGCTCTTAAAATAGTTACCCATGTCCTCCCCCTCTCTAATTTTAAAATTTTTGTTGCACAGAAGTACCCTTCTCACTTCTCTCTCTTTTAGGGTTGGTTTGACATATTTAAAAAAAGTCAAAAAGTCAAAAAGTCAAAAAGTCACTATCTTATTTAAGTCACATCATCTTATTTAAGTCACATCACTTCTCTAACACATCACTTTAAACCTAATCCAACCCCAACCCCAACCCCAACCCCAACCCCAACCCCAACTCAATTTTTTATAAAAAGTTAAAAAGTGCATTTATTTAGATCATCCCTAACAACCCCTTAATAGATATCACTCTTTTATTTTGCCATTCTCTAAGGTAATCATATTGCATTGCATTTATTGTTTGGACAGAGGTTTTGGAATCATTGATTTTGTATGGTATTTCATATTATATATAGAATCCTTAACATGTTACCCCATTTCACGAGTTATGATTTCTAATAGGGTCTTAAGGTCAACTTTTTGGGGCCATACTTGTATGGTTTTCTGGTGGTTCATTGTAGTGACTTTAGGTTGCATAGATGCCTAAGATTTTTGATCTGCTGTTGGTTTTCATTTTTTTATCCAAGTTTAGTAAATTGTGCAGGTTTGAATCAAGAAACATAGCCCTGATGTTCTCTGGTCAAGTTTCTCTTTTACAACTGATACCATGTTCTGTGCAGGGCCAATGTTGAGTTCTGGCATGTGCACTGAAGTGTTCCAGTTTGATGTCTCACCAGTTCCAGGAGCCATAGTTCCAGCTACCTCAGTTGTGAATGTTTCTGCAGAACACCGTAAGAACGCTACACACATCATCAAGGGGCTGAATAGAAGGATTCTCCACGGCGTGCCTATTCCCCTTCCTGGATCTCAGAACAACATTTCTAAAGAACATGTGGGAAGAAATCCAGAGAAAGATGATTTCCATGGAAACAAGTCTCTTTCGTCAATGGTGGTTTCTGTGCTGGTTGACCCTAGGGATGCTGGTGACATTGACAGTGATGGTGTTATGGGACCACCAAAGTCCCTCTCTCGGATTTTTGTTGTTGTGCTAATAGACAGTGTCAAGTATGTTACTTATTCATGCATGCTTCCGCTAATGGGATCGTATCACTAAGTGGCCCAATTCAGGATGAGAAAAGCGTTGCGGAGCAATGGAGAACTAAATAAATTCCCATCTCCGAATCCAATTTTGTAAATAGCTAAAATTTCAGTAGTTCACAGCTAAGTTTCAGTTAGTTTTCATGTAGCTTTAACAACAGCAGCATCTTTATGTACCCTGAATTTATGCAACTGACATTTTAAGTTGATGATGGATTAATGTTATTAGAATATAGAATGATAGGCCTATTGTCCTTCTATATATGTGGATATATGATTTTAGGGTGCGCATGATATACACTCATTTTTGTTACATCAAAATGTGTATGTGCTCAAAATAGTGGTTGAGCACATTATAATTTCGCACACGTCTCATTATAATTTGTGGGAATAAATGTGCTTCATCTCGTCCACTTTAAACTAAAATTAGGAACTAATTTAGCACTCAAATTTACATCAATTTATTTATGAGCAATATTTATTCATTTAAATATTTGTGACTTATTTATTTTTATTCAATACGCATAGGGTTTGAACTTCTTTGATTATTGGCTTCCAATTACCACCAAGTAGGAAAACAACCATTTTGAAATGAGCCATATTTAACCATATTAAAATCAGAAAACAAATTTCAATGGCCAGAAAATTCATCATATTTTAGAAAGTCTTCAAGATTAAGACTATTTTCTCAAGTTATCATTGTTTAAATGACTTGGGATTTACAAAAACAAACATTTAAAAAATATTGTGCAGACAATACAAAAGGTGCGGCTTTACCCAATTTAGGAACATGTTAGGCAATGACTTTAATACACTTGCACTTGGCCGGCCATTTCAACAAACATGAAAGAAGACAAATCATTGTTGGCTGACAAATTGGATCATATGTATGCTAAGTTCACTCACTCATTGGTCAACATAGTATTGTCCAAAGATAATTACAAAGTAACAAAGTCATTCATCTTTAGGTTGTATTTTGATTCGTTAGAATAATAGTGGATTGAAATAGAAAGATATTTTTTAGTCTTTTTATAATAGTGAATGTTAATTTTATTTGTAAGGTGTTTTTTTTAATCATTATTTTTAGTAATAAATTAAAGAGATAATTGGTGAAAAGTCTATACCTATGGATCCGTATGTTATTTGGTCCAACGATAAGGACATATTTAATGAAATTGTTTGGTGAGAATGACATATTATTGCCCCACTCTTGCTAGATCACTATCAGATTGTCGTCGGTCAGTTGTGGAAAGTTCATTGACACTAGAAAGGTTGCCAAAAGGTAGCCAGAAAAGTCATAGGAGATGGTCGGCAGCGGCAAGTGATAGCTACTAGTGGTAGCGGTAGCGGTAGCGGTAGTGGTAGTGATATGGACATATAGATAGATTAGGTGAACAGATATGTGACACATAAACAAATATGAAATGTCATGTGGACAGATAGATGGACAGTGGACAAATAGACAGATATGTAGGGATAATATGATCTTCCAAATTATTATTGTCCTTTTGTCCTCAAAAGTTTTGAAATAAAACCTACGATTCGAATACCCTAAATTAAATGTTAGAATGCACATTCTGATGGAATTATTATTCCAATCCAACTCATTCCAATAAACCAAGCATAAACTTTGATCATTTGTGCACATAGACATATCAAGTCCCATCTCTCCCTCTCTCTCTCTCTCTCGACCATGTCCATGTTTACTAAAGCATGGCTAATCATGGCAACAATTTATGTAATACAGATGTTTTAAGAGTAGAGTCACTCCCTGAAGCTGATAAAATCATGATTTTGCCAGGTCAGCCACAGGTCAGTTTCCAGCAATTTGGAGGGTACGTCACTGTTGATGAACAAGAAGACAGAGCTCTTTTCTACTACTTTGCTGAAGCAGAAACTGATCCATCTTCAAAGCCTCTTGTTCTTTGGTTAAATGAAGGTGTTTGTTAGACAATTCCTTTAATCATTCAAATCATAATACTCAAATAGCAAGAAGTAATAATTTCAGGTTCTGATTTTTTCATACTATTATTGATTTTTACAGGGCCTGGTTGTTCATCTATTGGGGTTGGAGCTTTCTGTGAGCATGGACCTTTTAAACCAACTGAACATGTTTTGGTCAAAAATTATTATAGCTGGAATAAAGGCAACCTTCAAATTCTATCTCTCTCTCTCTCTCTCTATCTCTGAGTTGTGATTTCAACTGCCAATAAATAACTCAAAATTAATGTTTCTATAGAAGCAAACATGCTATAATCGGAGTCACCTGCAGGAGTTGGCTTCTCTTATTCAGCTAATAAATCCTTCTATGCATCAGTAACTGACGACATGACAGGTTTTTCTTGAATGATTCATTTCATATGTTGAAAACCTTTATTAACAACAAAGGGATAATCTATCCTTCCAAGAATTCTGTATCTGATGAAGATAAAATCAATCCACAAGTCATAACCTAAATCCAAAATTAGAGCAACTATTTGAAATTTTATAATGTTGTCATTTATGTTAAGAACTTCATCTTTTTGATTGAACTAATTTGTGGGAATAGTTTTGAGACACTACTGCTAAACAATTCTTGGATATTTTATCTAAATTAACTTTGCATTTGCCTTTTCTTTAGCACAAGACAATCTTGTTTTCCTTGAGCATTGGTTTAACAAATTCCCGGAATACAAGAACAGAGACTTCTATATTACAGGGGTTATGCTGGTATGCATAATTTCAATAAGCATCACTAATGCTATGTTTGGCAGCACAGAATTCATGCTTTCGATTTGGAAAAAAGAGATTATCTCAGTTCAAATTTTGAACTAAGATGATTTTCATTTTCAAAATTCAAAGGCATGAAAGAGTTTACTAATCACTATCAATTTCAATACAACATGACAATTCTGTTTCTTGACAGGACACTACGGTCCACAACTGGCACAACTCATTATTCAATCCAAAATGAAGTTCAATCTCAAGGGAATAGCCTTGAGTTTAAAAATAGAAAGAAAATTACCCAAACCCACCTCTTTTTTTTTCTTCCTAATTTCTATTTGAATTAATTTCAACTCCAAATAAAATAATCCGATTTTGTGGTGCTTGCAGATAGGAAATCCACTTCTGGAATTCAGCACTGATTTCAATTCAAGAGCTGAATACTTGTGGTCTCATGGGCTGATATCAGATGCTACCTATGAACTATTCACAAATGTCTGCAACTATTCCTAGATTAGAAGGCAGTCCCAAACTGACACTCTTACCCCTATTTGTTCTGGAGTAAACAATCCAGTTTCAAGAGAGATCGGTAAATTTATCGACAAATATGATGTCACTCTCGATGTCTGCTCATCATTCCGTTGGTTCACAAGCACAGGTTCTTAATCAATTGGTAGGCCTAGATCTCCAGCTCTCCTATACTCGTTTGTTTCTTTATCTTTAGGAAACTCTTGTTTTCCTCTTCTTTTACTGTGTTAATCAGTTTTGGCTCCATCTATATCAATCTTCATTTACAGCAAGATACAAAGAACATAGATGTCTGTGTAGAAGATGAAACGGTTACTTACTTGAACCGGGAAGATGTACAGAAAGCTTTCCATGCGTGGCTTGTTGGAGTCACTGCATGGAGTGTTTACAGCACGTAATAATCCTCATCTTGTTGCCGAAAATGAAAAAAAGAAAGAAGAAAGAAAAAAATAATTTCAACACAATAATCATATTCGGAGTTCCCATCTTTATATAGAATCAACAAAAACATTTTGAATATATGACACGAATTGTGTAGCCTCCACAGCCTAGTTGAGAAATGGGTAGATTAGATTGAATGGGATCTGCCAAGGCCTAGTTTGAATCATGGATTTAGCTTATATTTCATTTACATTTCTCTTTCCTTATTCAAATCCATGATCCAAACACAGTCTAAGTGAAATATTTAAAACCTTTGTGTTTTCATAATCTGTGTGTTTTACTCTATTGCCAACAGTGTTCTCCATTATGAGAAGAAAAACCTAGAGATACCAACAATTCATGTACTGGGTTCACTTGTAAAGTCTGGTATTCGGGTCTTGGTTTTCAGGTGAGTTCCTTCATAATGTATGCACAAACTTAAAAATCATTTAAGATCCCATTCATAGAATTACTTACGAAAATTACATAAAAAATTCTTACAGTGGAGATGAAGATTCAGTTATCCCATTACTCGGAACGTGTACACTGGTGAATGAATTGGCAAAGGAGTTGGAATTGAAAACCACTGTTCCATACAGAGTTTGGTTTGAAGGGAGACAAGTCACTGGATGGACACAAGTATATGGTGATATACTATCTTTTGCCACCATTAGAGGAGCTGCGCATGAAGCTCCATTTTCACAACCAGAGAGATTGCTTGTTCTTTTTAATTCATTTTTGGGTGGAAATCCACCACCAGAGGCAGTACTGTCTACTGAGAGCATATAAAATTAAGCAATTCAGTCATGTTCTGTGATTGTATTGAGTAAGAAGATGATATCTGTTCTTGCCAATGAAAAACCGAAAAAGGAGGTACAATTGTATTTTTGTAATAATGCATCAACCTCTCACAGTCCAAGGAGATCAGTGATTAGACAAAAAGCATTGTGAATGATTCACTGCAGTGTAAACAGCTAGGCTCATACCCTATGCAATGCAAATTTCTTTCAATATTGTAAATAATTGCCTTTTATGATTCTACTAGTAAAGTCAATCCAAGAAAATGCGAAGTAAACGTAACATCACAAGCAATCAAGCTATTCACAATGTAAAGTAATATATCATTTTTTAGTAAAATAAATATCATGACATTTTGAAGTGCCGAACTTTTCAATAAACAGATAAATTTATCAGGTTGACTTTCATTGGACATGATAATCAGAGGGAGATGCTCTAAATTTCATAAAAGAGAAGTGAACCAGAAGCACAAAACATTACCCACGAAACTCAAATAGAAAAGCCTTGGGTTCTAAATTTTGGTTTATTGTTTCTCCAACAATACAAAACCACATTGTTCCAACATATAATTCACAGCTCAGTTCTGAACTGTCCAACATGGATATGTTACATTCTTAGAAGTGTTAATGCTTTTTAGCCAACCACTTCTTCTCAAATATGAAAGGGGGTAGGACCTCATTTAAAAGGATAACTGTCCAAAGTCACAAGACAATGATCCGTGCAACTGTAGGAATCACCTCCTACCTACGTTTGGAAACCTATCATCCCGCTGTAACATTTTGAAACCTATTATACCAGTCCACAGAAAAGAAA